TGCTCATATGATGGCCATTGGAGGCTTATATGATCGTTAACTTCAGGACCCGTGAGATTAGTCATGGTACGCACAAACTGACCCGAACACCCATATTAATAAAAAACAAAAAAAAACAACCACTCGGGCTATACGTTTCCAAGTAGCAGAGTGGGCTTCCAACTTTCAGGAGGAGCCAATGTTGACAAGTCTAAATTTCTAGTCTGTTTCTGTGTTTGTAATGAGCTGTTCTTAAATTCATATATTTATAAATAAAAATTATTTTATAAAATAACCGCTCAGACAATACCAAACAATGTTTGTTCTAAGCTCCTCACCTTGTGTCGTGATGTCTTATAAACCAATCCAAAAGCATTGATTTATTTATTTAATTTTATTTACCGGGACCAGGAACAAAATTTCCACAAAATAGAAAAACTTTCAATAGATTCCTCTTCATCAAATAAATAAACAGAATGAAACAAGATGATCATCTCCACATAGGATCTCATTTGCTTTGTTTTCATTAACAGTACAAGAACCAACCACCGAATAGGAATATAAAAAATGCACTCAACAGAGACCAGAGACCCAGAAGCTGCATATAATTCTATTGACCATATTGCACCAACCAACCAACTTGTGTTCTCCCCTGCTGGACCACTGGCTTCATACACCAACAAGATTCATAGAATTTTATCGACCATAGTGCACCTAAATTGCTCTCTCCTGCGGGAGCATTGGCCTCTCCTGCTGCATCGTTTGAAGGTTCAAGCAAGAGCATGATCGTGCGACGTCGCCGGCCAGAGGGATCACCGGGAGATTATCACAGTTGCAAATCTCGATCATGAATCCATCAGGGTCATGAAAGAACAACTGTTCAACCTGAATCCCACCTTCCTCTACTAATGCTCGCACATGCTGAATTCCCAGGTCTTTCAGCTTCTTCTCCACTGCTGCCATGCTCCCACACTGTATATGACAGATGTAGACGCGTTACATTTAGCATGCACATTCCTTCTTTTTGACATAACAAGAACATATTAGCTTTTAAAAACTTCTTAATTACATGGTGAAATCACTCTGTATAAATCAACAAGGATTCCAAGACTCCATTTTTTAGATTCTTGATGGCCATCTGCCATCAGCAGCAGACAAGCTTAGATACTACTACCTATGACAAAGTCTGACTAACCATCCACCTGAATCCACTCATGCCTCACCCTAAGCCAACACCGGAAACCAGAAAAAAAAAGACCAATTTACATAATAAATAAACATAATTAAGGATCTCGTGTAGCTTAACAGGATTGACATTTTGATTCTTAATAAATTACCTGAAACGAGATATGATTGTCCTTGGGATTAATTTCACTTTTCTTTGGCATCTTTTCTGGGTTTTCTGATTGCAATAAATGAATTCCAATTCCAAAACCAAATAGCCTGCATGAACAATCAAACAGAATGATGAAAGATCAAAAAAAGAAATCCCTTTATGAAGAAAGTTGTGATGTTTTCTTTTTTTGCTCTAAAGTTAATTTCTTGATATCTTTACGGTATCGGGTTGCAAGGGCCGGAGGCAATTTACGTACCATGCCCCATCAAAGTTGAAAGATCCCGGCCTCCTTATTGGCACAAAACCAAGAACATCCTGGTAGAAATCAATGGATTCCTCAACTGATCTACACAAAAGTGAGATGTGGTTCAAAGACTTGAGATGGAGTGAGTTTCCGATGTGGTCCTTCATTCTCAAAGAAATCCAAGAACCAAAAACAAAAGGCGAATGATTATGAGGCGAAGAAGCTGAAATGGTCACGGCAAGTCCGTTTATGCAGTGGGATAGAATCTGTGAGTTTTACTTATAGAAGAAAGAACAGGGGTGGTGATGATCTCTCCATGTACGCCACGTGTCGATGTGATAACACATGTTGGGTTTGGATGATTCCGACACGTCAGAGTCCATATGCTGAGTAGGCTTCTGACCTACTCAATCGGGTCACGTACACGTAGCCTTGCCCCTTTTTAATTTTCTTTTCGGGTTGGATAGCATCAGCACCGCCTCCATTCTCAAAAACTCCGCGGCTTATTAGCTGTCTTTGCACTGGAGTCATTTTCAATGACGTGGAATTTGGATTAATAAACACACCAACCATGACGGGTTGGCTCTTTTCTTATGGAAACAAATTTGAGACCGGAACAGTTTTCCCGGAAAATCAGTGATTGACTGGACGGAAGTTGTTTGTCATCATATTTATCATTTTCTTGGCAATAATGAATGTTTCCAATTATTATTATTATTTTTGATGAATCATAAGTTTTATTTTTTTATCTTCTTGTATTTGTCTTTTTTTTACTAATTAAGTTTAAGAAATAATTGTTGTTGTTTTTTTTAATTATTAATTAAAAATAATGAATTTATTGTTTTTTATTATATATTGCGTGCCATCCTATTATTTATTTTAATTGACTCAATTTTTTTAAAAAAGGGATATGCATAAGATGAAAAGAGAAAATCAAATATATAATTCATAGAAAATAATAAGAAAATCTCCATATAAATTTTCTCTCTCCTCGTTGTATTTATCTTTCTTACAAGTGAGTCTACGATCAAGAAATTGTGTAAAAAAGTTAGTACCTTAAGGTCATCGGCTAAGCTAACTAAGACAATCTCAACAGGTGTCTTTTTAAACCATATTAGCAATAAATGTGGGAAAGTGCCGTAATTTTTTTTAAAAAAATATTATAAATTATTACAACATCTTTTTTATTGGTTTTTTTCTTTAAGACATGGGTTTTCTTTCTTTTTCCTATGCTTTTTTTCATGATTTTTTTTAATTTTTTTTGTTAATTTGTTTCACCAGGGTAATATGGTTAATATGGTTTGTGAATTTATTACTGTAACTGAAGTTGTTTCAGTTGGTTAGTATATAAGTTTGGTGAAGTCTTTTTTTTTAAATTGTATTTTTAATATTGTTTTATATTTTAAAAAAATGAATTCGATTCACACGGAATCATGGTAAAATATATAGTCTTGTTATTTTGGGACCAGATCTTATCTCCTTCCTCTTTCCATGCTTGACTGTCACCACCTAAAACACACTGCCATGAAAGTCAATTCATCATTCTCTAATTTGATTAACAAAATGGCCAAACATATAAATAGGCATCCAGCTCTACACACCACATATTCATAATCTTTTCCACACATCACAAATTCCTTCAAACCAAACATTAATCGAAGATAGAAGCCAGTTTCTTGTAGCCAAGTTCTTGGTAAAAGTAGAAAACAGAGCTCGTGTTTGTCCCTTTCCCAGGGATTGGCCACGTTGTTTCAATGTTGGAGTTAGCAAAACTCCTTGTTCACAATCTCCATCACTGTTATCATCATCAGGCTAGCTTTGGACTCCATAATCAGCAAGTACACCGAGTGCTCCAAAATGCGAATATTTGTTTCTTCATCCAATGTTTGATACCTCAAAATTATTTCAAGGGAGCAATTTTCTTAATCATCTCTGGCTTTGCCAGCGAGTGATCTGGTTCCTGTCTCCTTTTGTCCTCTCTCACAGATTTCTATGTTCAGTTTTTAAAAGGTCAAAGAAGGGACAGGTATCAGATTACATGTCAATTTTTCATGTGTAGTGATTACATGACATTCCCTGTTCGGCTTATAGGTTTAGCTACATGCATATATTATTAGCGTCAGACTTTATTTACATGTTTAGAAATGGAAAAAGGAGGATGTAGTTTTGTTATGTAAACTTTTCTAGGTATCCTCAGCATGCAAAAGCTGTACTTTGTCAAGCTTGTTATGGATCATTGCGCCTTGGAAGAACCTTGGAACAGAAAGCTGCAGAACTTCTGGAAGCTATACCAAAACCCTTTCTTTCGCTACATCTTCGATTTCAACCTGACATGGTAGCATATAGCCACTGTGAGTACCCAGCCTTTCTCCTGCCTCCATAGAAGCCACTGAAGCTGCAAGGGGAGACAGAAAACCATGGACTGGGGAGTTGGCTCGTGTTTGGAGAAAACGAGGGAAGTGTCCCCTCACACCTAACGAGACAGCCTTCGTTTTGCAGGCGCTTTCCATCCCTGCAAACACAACATGTATCTTGCAGCTGGAGATGGCCTGGTGGAAATTGAAGGTTTAAAACCCACTTACACCAATGTGGTCACCAAATCTGCCCTTCTCAGGGGCGAGGATCTCCTAAATATGCATGGGAACACTAGAGCTGCTTTGGATTATTATGTATCAATCAACAGTGATTCGTACGTGGCCACTTTTTCAGGAACATGGATAAGATGGTTGTTGCGATGCGAGCTTATAAGGGGTTACATGATACCTTATTCCTAGGCCGGAGAGCTTATGTAGAGCTGACCACCAAGGGCTTGAATGGGAAGGAGTTGTTGCCAGCCTTACGGGTGGCTCATAACTAATATTCTTCCATGAGAAGAGCCGAAGAGGGTCTTCTCTGCTTGACTGCTTCTGTGAAACTGTGACTTCCTTGTAATTCCTCATGTACATGATTTGACACCGGTTGCTATTCCCACTCGGAGAGCATGGTGGATTGCCCGATGTTGATTTTATGCAAAACAAACGCTTTTAAACATTTGGCAGAAGAACTGCCATAAAAAAAAAAAGGATATCTACAGATTCATTACGCTTTTTGAACAGGCTCCGGATTCATTATCAGGAGCTGCTTTCAACTGGAATTTTACATGGTGATTTTCCAGTCGTGTTTTTCTTCCCCGTTATCGTGTGATATCAAGGACTGACTTTCGTGCATTTAAAATTACTGTCGCCTTAACCTGTCTAGAAATACTAAACTTTGTAGCAAATGTAAAAACCAAAACAATTTGTAGAGAGTGGAATTTAGCTGCAGATCGCACATTTAACTGCGGATCGGCAAGCATTTCAGGTATTTTCCATAGAGTCAAAACTAGAGCAACTGGTTGAAGTTTCGTACATCATACTAGTGCTAACAAGTATCATCTGAAGTTGCCTAGTCAAACACAGAATCCTATAAACAACTAAACTCAATTCACAATACGCAGCGGAAGGCGTTCAGGTATCTCAATCACAGGACATTATTGTTCATGCCCAAAAATGCAGCACCAATTGTTGCTAGCAATCCCACTTTATCCAGATCTGCAACCAGGGACCAGCCATAAAATGTTACTCTGTTGAGCACTGAATGCATCAATCAAATGAGGTCAAATTTCTAATAGAAAGCCACAAACCAAGAATGTGTCAATTCAAATGCATTTTCTGCTGTCAAAGAGCCCCATTAAAATATTCCACCTAGTGGCCGTGGCCCCATTACTTCGCAACAGCATCCTTTTTACAGGTCTCCTCTCTTCCCTTTCAGGCTGTGCCAATTTTGAATTGTAAATTTTGTCCCGTACAGTTACAATTACGAAAAAGGTAAGAATTCGTACCATTTGAGCAGAAGGATGGATTTCAAGAACAGCAAAGGATGCCTTTTTTCCCTGACGGCGGGACAAGAAGCATGTATTCATGAATCAATTTCATTAGAACCCTCCAATGTGTCGACTTTTTGTTCCTACCTATCCGTTAGTAAATATCATTGAATAGAAGTGATTCAGTCCATATAAAGGTTATGTAATCTTTCAATACAGAAAGAATCAGTTCATGAATAAAAATTCCAGAAACTCAATCTTCTCTTAGGTGTGACTCCTAAGAACTCTAGGTGTGAAGCTTCGTTTTCTATCCTCTAGTGTGACTTCTAGAAACCATTTTAGAGTGGCTATAGTTTTTACAATTTCCAGCAATTCAAATCCCCCCCATATTCCAATCATCAAACAACCTCCATTTAATTACTAAACATCCACACGTTCTAGCCCAGTCAGTCCTATAGCTATTGACCATCAAAAGATCACCTCAAACCCTAAAATTACTATTCACATCGCATTTGCAGCCTTAAAACAGCCTCCAGCTGTCCTGCATCACATACTCCAATATAAGTACATAACAATGAAAACAGAAAAAAAATGTATCAAAACATCAGCCATCACTCTTAACATTTATCAGCTTACAGTGATTTACTTAACGAAAGTTCAAATCTGAAATATAAGGCATTTAGAACAATGAAGCAGTAAGTTCCACAAATCAACTCGATGCATCTGCTAAGCCCAACAAACAAAAATGTGCAAAATATTTGATGCTTACCAACGTTGCCATCTAAGTAATAGATATGAAAAGGATGAAACCTTTTTCAGCTGGCTATCGAACTCTAAGTCAAATGAAGCTGCAAAAGTTTCACAAAAAAGGCATCACCTTAGAAATGAAAAATCAAATCAGAATTTTAGTTGAAAGCCAATTTATACAACACATCTGATGAAAATTTGCCTAACATACAAGTCAGGGCAGAAGACCTGGTCGTATTCATAAATAAATGCACCACACAATGAGGAAGTTGCATGATGATTTAAAAAAATGTCATGAATCCAAGTAAACAGAGGTGAATAAAGATGGCAGGAGACATTGATTTTCAGTAAGTAGAGTGATTATTGACACGGTGAAAGTCCAAAAAGCACATACCCCAACACTCATGGATTAGAAAGAGAGATCATAGGATTTGAAACAGATAAAGGAAGAAATTGCATGAGAACTTACAAGAATCATGATACCATCCACTAGAAGTTTAGAACTTTCATTTCACCAGGAACTTAATCAAGGCGCTAAAATCAATTAATCGAAGAAAGGGGAAGTTCCCTGTTTGATGTTAAGGATGAAGATATGATGTCCATTTAGTTTTGTTGTTTGATATAATGAAAAGAATAGTCTCTCCTGTCAAGCTGTGGTGTTACAAAATCAGGCTTATCTGGGTATTTCCATCACCCCAATTCAACTTCTAGACAATACAATTTCGCAAGGAACTCAAATGACTTGAAGGAAAAGGTGGCACTCTCCTCTGGGCTAAAGTCAAGATTACCTTAGCCTTGTTAAGCTGCCCATTCTTCTTTAGCCCTTCAAGCAGTGTATGAATGGTATGCACGTTCAAAAACCAGTTGGTTCTCATGCAGTCTCTACACATCGTATATGCCAAATCAAATTCTCCACCCTTGCATAAATAATGAACCATTGTTTGGTAAACTTTAGCATTAAATTTATGCCCCTTGCCACGTAAGGAAAAATACACCAGTTTGGCCATCTCAAGATTACCAGCCTGGAAGAAGCCTTTTAGAACCAAATTATATGTAACCTCATCGGGCACAATCCCGATTCTCTGCATCAAACGCATCACATCATTTGCATGCCATGCCCGTCTTATGTTGACCAAATACTGAATTCTAACATTAAATGTTGCAAGATTGGGTAAACATCCCTTAAGCACCATAAGATTCCACAATCCATTGCCAATCTCTGACCTGTTGTTCTTATAAAATGCTGACATAAGTGTGGTGTATGTGATGACATCTGGCCTTACCCCTGACTTTTCCATCTCTACCATGAGCAAATATGATTTATCCAAAACACCCCCTTCACATAAAGCCTTAACAATAATGTTAACTGAAACTATGTCAAACTCGATATCAAACTTCTTTGGGGCCTCGTTAACAAAGGTCTCAATTGTTGCTAAATCACGGGTTCCAGTCAAAACCTTGAGTGCGGCATTGAAGGATTTAACGGTCCTTTTACAGCCGCGCAAATGCATATTATGGAAAGTATCAATAGCATGCTCTATCATTCCAGCCTTTCCATACAACATTATAATCCTCACCATAAACCCTTCACGCCTACCCTGTGGAAGAGTCTTTTGGTGCTCAAGTAAATGCTCAATGTAATCAAACCTGTTAGCACCAGCTAAGCGAGAAACGGTATCTTCAAATGCAAACAGATTCTCCACAACAAGCCTATTCTCAGCATTGGCCTTGAAAAGATTAAATAGCTTTTCAGGGTCTCTCTCAGCTTTAAGCTTAAGAAGTGCAGGTTCTTCCAAAGGCTTCTGGTTTTGGTTCTGAATGCGATTAGATACAGCTGCAGGGCTATGAGTTAATGCAACGGCAGCAGCAAAGTTGCGGAATGTGCGAGTGACTCGCAGAGAGAGCATATCTTGATTTCTTCCTCAAATTGAAACATACTCATGTCCCAACCTCAAGATTCTATGCAGTAATGTCAAAAAAATCTTCACAATCCACTCAACAAGAAAACCCAGAAAAAAGAGGATTTCTATCAAACAAACGCACAAGCCGGCCCACATTCAAGAGACTAGCTTGACAAAAATCTTAATAAAAATGCATCCCCACGACATATGGAAAACTCGCAGAGGAATTTCATCAAATATAAGAATACCCGTATGCTAAAACCATGATCCCAGGCAACGAGTTGAAGAAATCTTCAAACCCCGTTTGGCAAATAGAAAAACAAAAAGGATGAAAACTCAAAAAAAAGAAGAAGAAGCAGCAAACTTGAGATAGCTCAGAACAAAAATTAAACAAAAAGTGTGTGTGTGTGTATACATATATATATATAGAGAGAGAGAAAGTAGGGGCTATAGAAACAAATATGAATAGAAAGTGAGAGTGGATCTGAGGGAGAGAGTGAGGTTGGGCTCTTTAAAGGAGACGGGGGGGTCGGTTTTGAAGTTAGGATTTATGCATTTTTGCCAAGTGTTTTGGGAAGATGATGGTAAGCCGGTGTCTCTGCGAATGGTTATGAGGGGATTTGGGCTTTGTTTCGTGTCAAAAATTTGACCCTAGACTCATTCATGGAAAAGAGTACCACTACGAGGAAGAGTACATGAACACATAGGACAGCAGTGGCTAGAGATTTTTATTTAAACATATTAAAATAATATTTTTTATTTTTAAATTTTATATTTATAATAACTCATTAAAATAATTTAAAATAAAAAAATAAATTTTTAAAAAACATCTGATTAGAACAAAATAAAAAAATAATTTTTTAAAAAACATCTGATTAGAGCATAGATGTGTTTAAAGTACTATTTATTTTTATATTTTTAAAACATTTTAAAAAAATTTAAAATTTTTCTATTTACTTTAAATTAATATTTTTTTAATATTTTCAAATGTTTTTATGTATTGCTAGTAAAAATAATTTTTAAGAAATAAAAGAAATATTAGTTTAATATATTTTAAAATAAATCACAACTACATTTTAAAATGATCAGATGTGAAAAATGAATGAATGTCAGGACACTCATTCTAATAAATAAATTTTAAAAAGAATGAACTGTTGAACAATTCGTCATCATTATATATAAAGGAATCCAAAGGAAAAAACAAGAATTAAACTAAAATTATCCTCCAGAAAAATAAATAAAATAGAGCATGGAACCTACCACGGATGTTGCTCTCTCATTGAATTCAATTACCAATGGACTTGTAGTCTATCGACGAACTCTTGCAGTAAAAACGGTGAAGCCAAATTCAGCACCCACTTTTATTAAACAATTTAATATTTCGAAAATAAAATGCTCCGATGACGCTTATCTGATGAAAATCGCAGTATAAAAACAAAAAACTTCGGCTGTGAAGGGAAAGATTAACTAGAAAGACTCAGAATCAACTCCTTTCACTAATTCGGCTTTCATTCCAGCATCTCAGCTTAAAATGATTTTCGCGTAAGCAGTAAACGTGGAACAGTTAGACCAAATATCTAACAAAACAATGATCATCTACCAGTTTAATTTATCAAATAAACCAACTCTTTCTTTTGCCCAATTTATAAAATGGTTACCAAAATGATACATTCAAGGAAAAGCCAGGACAATAGGTACTAACTACTACATTGCAGCTTTTGAATTTTGTTTCAGCCATTAGTCCTTTGAAGTTATGACAAGCAATCCCAACGCGCCGATAAGAATATACTGCAAGAACAGAACAAAGGTCATTAGTTAAACAGGGTTTTTATTTTGTATCATAGTGACAGTCAAGAAACAAGATTTCAGTTTTGGCAAATGATTGACAGGGAAGATGTACCTTGATAATAGGCTTTTCAGTCATTATAATGGTTACCCACCCAACATAAGGTAAGAAACTGCAAAAATGAAAGCAAGCAACATGAAGAATCTACTTGATACTATCAAGTTCCAAAACTATGGGAGGGGTAAAGAGTTTTAAAAAGCATGAAGCAAGAAATAAATCCTGGAAAAGAAGATAAGAGTTACAGTCAAAACTTTTACCCAACAGCTCTGCCCATGATGTGGTGCCGCTGAAGCCAAAGCTGCCCTTGAGCATATAAAAGCCTGTCATCCCCGTAATTGTTATCTCCTGGCAAAAGTACCATTTAAGTATATCAGGATTTTCAATAGAACAAAAGTTAATTTTGTGAGATCATATACAAAATTTCAACACTAAGGTTGTACAATGATAATATCTATAAGAAGCCAACACCTTTTGTGAGGACATCAACTTCCCCAGTATCTTGCCTTTCATGGACCTGCAAAAAAATTATAACTATGTCATTACATAGCAGTGGGATGATAATTGACTAAAATATGTTTGCAATTAATGATGAGACAGCTTTTTAGTTTTCTTCCTTTTTTTCATGAAAGAAGATTTCGATTTGCGATCAGTTTAAGGAGGTCATATCAGCTACTATCCAACATAGTTTATTTATCCTGGTAGTTTCTTGGCAAATGGAGGACATTGTCAACATCCATTTCCACATACTTGAGGCGTGTTTAACTGATAGGCAAAAGGACATGTTCCTCCCAACCCAACTATCACACACCACCCACATACTCTCACTGGTATTGGCATCCGGTATGCATCACTTCAATTTTGTTGTTTCACATGTAGTGCACCCAGCTTGTCCAAAGTAGTTTTTGGTATCAATACAGCATTAAACTAAATGCAGTTAGGTCAACCAAATCTTTACCTTAATCACACGGTGGACAATTGGAATTTCACGACCCTGATCAATGAAAAAGTAATTTCAAAATGAGCATATTAATGGGGAAAAGAGGCAGAAGCATGACAAAACATGAGCAAATATTGAAGGAGAAAATATTACAAGTATACAAACAAAACATCAAAGAACATCTGTAAAATTTGTATTGAAACCATAGCCCCAAATAATCACTCAACTGGAAATTCAAAACTACATCACATTACAGACCATTTTTTAATTGATATGCTAGATTTATATTTTAACATCCATTTGCCTTTTAAAGTGTTCCGGTAAAAACGTGATAACAGTTTTCCATGAAAAACAAAATTTTGTTTCACATATAACTGATTTACAATTAAAATAAATTATTAAACTCCATCTTTCAACCAATATAAAGGTAAAATCAACATGGTAGAACTTCTTATAATCTGATATATGCAATTGTTCAATCAATTGATGGTCCTTTCCCATTATCTCCCATCATAAGATTGCAAGCTTCTATTTTTTGATAAAGGAAACTATGTTTTAATGTCATAGGAATATTAGAACTAAGCTTGAAATAATAGAGAAGGGTAAAACTGTGTTAAGTTATCTCAAACCAGACTTAATAGCCATAAATAAAAGCACATGAAAAATCTTCACAAACAGAAGGCCCCTAAAACCAAATGTGTTCCTCTGATATCCATGCTCAGATGCGAAAGCATATCACTCAGGACAAGAACATGGGACCTCAGTTTCCATAAAATCCAAACCTAAATACTTCAGCCATCAGTATAATCAAGCATACAAGTTATCCGACTGTAGTACTTAATATCGCAAAACCAAAGATTTTTATAGTCAAAACTGATTGTATAATAGATTTATAGTGTCACAAAACCAAAAACTCATTTCAAAGCAATTGAAAAGAAATCAGATGCTGGAAAACAGAAGGAAGCCTCATCAATCTACATAAAAGCAGACTGAGAATAGGATCTTACATCAACATTAAAAACAACAATTTCTCCTGTGCGAATAGGATCTTTACTCATGTGCAAGAACAAAATGTCACCCTGCAAAAAGTGAATATAATTAATCAAGCAGTCTGATCAAATACTATAGATTAAAGGAGTTCAAGTGCAAAGAAACAGTATTATCATCACTGAAACCAGGGAGAACAGTTAAAGCACTAAGAAGAACTTCATACTGCAAATATTTAGTTGAAGCATTACTACAACAATCTCCTGAAATATTCAAAAACAAATTTACTAAATCAACTAGCTAATTGAAGATTGATGTTAGACTTCATTGAAAATATTCAGAAGGAGCAGAGTAATTAAATACATCAATAACAAGCAAATGGTGTCCTGCAAATCTTCCATTGCATCCAAATCAATCATTTACATAAGGTGGTTTCATGTTGCCACTGTTTATGCTTAACCTGAAGCATTGGTCAGATAATGCAAATAGTTATGATAGCTATGTACAAGAAATGGGGAATCAAATTTTATCAAGGTCAATAACAAGAGAGAGATTCAAGCATAGAGCAGCAACGTTAATAAATATTTTTAGTCCCCATTATTTGTGAATGGTTAAAAAATGTAAATTCAATTCAATTTCTCCGTCCTTCCTAATTAAAATGAATATCCTATGAAAAAGTGTGTAATTCTTGTCAAGGATATACCAAGAGTATTATGCTAAGACAAAGCATTCCCAAAAACAAATTGGCCACCACCACTAAATTGTAAAAAGGTGCTTGCAATCAAAGAACTTCAAAAGAGAAGGTGAAAAAAACAAGGGGAATGCATGAAGATGGTTAAACATTTTGTCATAAAAACCCCTACATATATACAGGTAACTGTTCACAAAAATCAACATGGTACTTTTGACTTCTTCTGAAGCCTCCAAGAGACAAGGTCATTTGGCTGAGAAAACATCAAGGCTGAAAAAGAATTCTATCTCATCTTCCATAATTGTGAAAACTGGTGAAAGAAATGATTCTGATCCTCCATTCTTGACAAAATAGGGGAGAATGCATGTCTCTTCCTTTATTATTGTTACTGTACGTGTATATTATCATGTATTTAGATAACGAATTAAGAGTGAAGAATGAGACAACACGACTGATTAAAGATCATCTTATACCAATAATAATTCCCATGATTCCCATGTTAGTCTGCTTACCCTCTTGAAGCCAGGTTCCATACTTCCAGAGAGAACAACCACCACAGGAGATTCACTGCCAGTGATGCACATCAATGCCTTCCATATTATTAGTGCAGATGTAACAATCATTCCTGGAGCCAAAAGAAGAAGGTTCAAAACACCAGATATCCTAGCAGAAGGAATACAACAAAACACCAGCACAGAGTTCTCTAGAACTGCAGTTTTCTTCTCTAATGTCGAACAGATTGTGCTTGAAAATTTGAAATTCAACAAGGCAAGCTATCTAAAGTGTCAAAGTGGAGGTGAGGTAACTTAACCTGGTGCAAACAAATCACAAATGTAACAGGAGTACTCAATGTCATAAACTGAATTATCTAGCCTACATAATTAAGGAACGGCAACAGATCAAATA